GAAAATTAACTCTATCCCTGCTGAAACTAGGGCACCTAGTTAGTGCAAGAGAACAGAAATCAAGCATTTATTTTTTTCAATTCTGCTGTATTAACTGACGTAGAAGAAATGAGGGTAGGGTCACAAATGAAATCAACAAAATAAGTTACTCAAGATTGTAAAAAACTTAACTTTCATTAGTAATGTTAAAATAACATTACTAAGAATGTATCTGCTACTGAGAAGAAAAGAATATTCATCTTGAGAAACAAAAATATGTAGGAGTACCTAAGCTTACAGGCTAACAAAATGTGTTGTAGCACACAATGAAAATGCCTAACGTTTGGCTAAGGGTTCTTTCCAAGAAAATTTAAGAACATCACTATAGTAATCCACTACAAAAGAAGAATCAGACTTTAGCCCAAGAATACTCTTGTAGCATGTATGTAGCCAGAGGCATTTCTGACTTTTTATCTATTTCTGTGAGAACTGCTATTCCCATTATTTTTTTGAGGGCTTTTCATAAAACTAAACAGCTATTCTAAAACAGCTATTCAGAAATCATAATTCAAGTGAATTCTGAAGTCAATTCGAGGTCTTTAATAAAAGTGGGACAGCTCTAGTTGATTGAAGAGTTATTTGAACCAGTATTTCTTAAAGCCTAGAACAGACATTATTCAGGAGAAGATCAGGATAAGCCCATCAAGGAGAATGGTAATTCAAAATACCATTATTTTCTGTGTATAAAGCACAGTTTCTTCTGCCAGTTGTGTTTTATCGAAGATTATAGTTGGCATTTGAGGAAGATAAGCTTTTTGCCTTCTGTGAAGGATATAAGTTGAACAAATACTAGTCTACTTAACACCATCATTTGAAAATAAAGATGTAAATGTCCCAGAACAGTTAAACCCAAAAACTAGACCAAAAAGAGTCTGTGTTTTCCTACAGTGTTTTAACCTTAGGGCATTACAGACCTAGCCAATGTGTTAGAGTAAAAACATTCGAATATTTTTTTTACCCCATGTCTCGGCAAACACTTTAATAAAGCTGCAGGGAAAAACACGCAGTAAGTCCTTACAGAAAGTATGTAAACATCTTAGCTAATTTGAATTACTTAACTTCATGTAAGTATCTGACACTATCTGATGTTAAGCCTGGGAGAAGATGTAGTAGATAGTTTTGATGATGTTCCTGGTGTATGAACGTGCCTATCCCTGTTTTGTTATTAACCATTATGACTTAAATTCACAACTTATCTCTCAAGCATTTAGTAGCCTAAAAACATACATATTTATGCATTTAAATTATCAAGTAAGTGGGGTTTTTTTGGCTGCATAGTGTTTATTTGGACACTGACAACTCAACTCTTTTCCTTCTCTCTAGTTCCAGAAAGGCTGACAGCATCAAATCCAGAACAAATTCTGAGTCAGAGCCTGGTTGGAATTTATATATTATAAACACTGTTTCAACCATTCAGCTTTACAGAGAAATGGTATTGCCCAACTCCTGCTTTTGTTGTTTAGTGACTTAAAATTAAGTACTGTTAATTAATCTCTGATGCATGTCATTGCTGAATATGATGTAATGTATTTGTTATGAATAGCCCATAATCCTATTTCAAATGGCTGCTGCCCTCATTAGAATTGTTCCTGTATATTCTCAATTTTTGCCAGCAGCCTAAGTATATCCTGTGTCTGTTCTAGGTAGATTATAGTAAAACTTACGAAAACGTAAAAACTGAGAGTTGCATCCATCTTCTAAGTGAGGCTCACTTATTGGTTAGAGCAGCTATAATGGACCCTAGTTTCCTTAAATCAGATGAGAAAGAAGAACTTCAAAGAGCATTCAGAGAAAGTTGTGCATTCTTAGGAGACTGCTACAGCAGGTATGTTTTAGCTGTCAAAGCAATATAGGTGAGCTTTTGTTTCCAATGATGTAACCTTAAAATGAAAATGCATCATCATTCTTTGCTGTTTTATGTTAGTATCGTGTATGTAATATAAATCTTTACATTCTACAAAACCAGCTTAATCTAGTTATCTCTTCAGTATCTCATTGTCTTTATTGTCACTGAACGCAGAATACAACATTACGTTGAATATGAGCTATGTACTTGCAGATACTGCTATGTCTGCAGCTTTGTTTGATGTATTATTTTAGTTCTTACAAACAGTGATGGAAAGCGTTGCCCTTAGTTGTTTTGTTGTTGTTTTCCTTCCTCTCTGTTGCTTTCAGGTTTGACACAAGGGATTACCACCTCGCTTTGCCATACTACAGAATGTCAGGTTTATCCATGACCGAAGTTTTAAAGAGACTAGTTTCAGAAGGTGATGAGATACAAACGTATGAGAGAGGATTTATCTTTTACTTAACTCACTCTCTTAATGAAGACTTAAATGAAGAATTAAGTAAGGTAGAAACAAGTTGGGGTTTTTTAAATCTATTGATTTAGTTCTGATTTTAAGAGCTGTGTATCAAATTTTAATTGATTTTAATTTAAAATGCTGAACTGCTTATTTAGTTTTACAGTTGTTCATTTTCACTTTTTTGGTTTTTTATTTTCCCATTTTTGTTGACAAAATAGCAAGCAGCACCTGTGGTGCTTCGGGCTGCTTTCAAGCAACGTATTATGGGTTTGGCTGTCATGCTGCATGTTGATAATGATCTGGTTCCCACTTGCACACAGAGACACTTCTGCTTTAGGAAGGCACTGCCTCAAATTTCTTTCATCTCCCATTTCTGTAACAAAACAAACTGCTTCTTTGAACGTTGTCAAATTGTACAGGTTGGTAAAACCAATTCACTGTGGTAGTGGATGTTCTTCTAGCACCCCAGACTATGAGTTGAATCACTGCTGGTGAGGGATCCTTTACTTTTACCAGTAGGGAGGAGAGAAGCGGGGAGAGCACTGTGATTTGATAGCTAAGCTGTGCTTGTCTGTTTTAAAAACAAACAAAAAAACCCCAAACCCCAAACCACAATACTTTCATATGCCATAGAAGACTGTATATCTGGAAAGGCCTAAACTGTCAAATTGCTTTTATTTTAATAGGAGTCAGCAAATAAAGTTCTCCGAATATTCTGTCTGGCTGACCCTGTGCAGCTGCCTCATATCCTCTGCAGCCCCTGCATGAGAAACGTATGTCCTTTGACAGCTGTGAAGTATCTTCAGAAAGTAGAGAAGACTATGCCATCGGTGGTCCTGACACTTACTAAGGCTTTCATGGCTCTGAAAATGGGAGACCTGACGATGTATGAGCATGAGATGGACTCCTATAAGGAGGTAAAGTATGCTGAAAGCATGAGCTATTCATGCTTTGCAAAGCCCAAGTCAGTAGATTTGACTTCTGTATTTCACAGTAGAAGAAACTTCCAGTCACTCCTCCTCCTCCTCCTCCTGATACGCTGTATAGGCTCCACTGAATGTCTGCAATAACAATAGAATTGAGGGCTGACATACCCTGGGACTCCATTGTTTACCCTGCAGGTATCTTGGCAAAGCCTTACCAAATAAGCAAAAATTTTGAAGCTGTTAATTCTTGATAAATTAAATGCTGTTTACTGCGGTGTAACAAGCTCTGCAGAACCAGTGCTTTTCAGCAGTACGGCAGGGCTGTATAGCAGCATTTTTACACTCCTCCACCTGTGTGATATGCCCATGAAAACACCATCTGCATGTAAACAGCCCTTATAAAATTGCTCTTGAAGCAGAATGTCCATGGTGCACACAAACTAAAGTTTCTGTATGCAATTTCCCATCTTTCTTAGGTGGAATCAAAGCACTTAACCCTTATAAGATCAGATGAGAACCTAATTCAGTGCTATCAAAGTAAGAATTCCACATTAATGGGGGAAAAAATGTTAGTGAAGCAGTCTGTGCCATAGATGTTCACATGTGGTTTTAGACTGAGACCAGTCTGTAAATTACTTCTTGTTAAGGTTGATCAGGACTGTTGAATATTCAAAGGTGACAGAGCTTGAAATACAGACTCTGAGAGTGAGATATTGGAGGTCTAAAAACTTTTAAAATAAACTGATAACTGTTCCAAAGTTAGATACCATGTTTCGGTAGTAGAAGTCCTTGAGAACTTTCAAAGTTAGCAGGTTTTGAATTGCGAGGTGGGAACTATGGAGAGCTGTTTCAACAATGATATTCAGCACCACCTGCTTTCTAATCATTTGTAGCACAATCAAGTGAAATTGCCACGTTGTGAGCAAACATACACATGCCACTGCATGGATGTTATTTAAAGGATAAGGTGGCTGGGGTTTGGATGTTGGGTTCTTGTTGTGTTGTTTTTTCTTTTTAATCTGACCTATTAGAAAAATTTTCTATTGCACCTTGCCTTTAAAAAGCATTTTGTTGTAAAGTGGAAAAAAATAACACTTTCAGAAAGATAAAGAAAGGAAAGATAGTTTGTATGCATAGCAGGGTGAAATCTGAATTTTCCTCCTAGATCTGACTTATATTTCCCGTGTAATTAATTTAATCTGCTTAGACATCATTTCCCCACTGTCCTTTAAAGTGCAAATAGTATCTTGTCATGCCTACCTTCAAAAGCACTCAGATATCCAGAAACAACTTACTGTTGTAAATAGTGCAACACATGTTGATCTTTCTTTCAGGAGTATTTTCAAAATAAAAATCATACTTTAGCAAAGTAGTCTGTTGAAATTTCAGCCAGCGATTTTTCAGAACACCGTGTGTATTGAATGTCTTGGATTTCATAGTGAAATTTGTCTGGTGTATGTGCACAGTAACTCCAGATTTCAACGGTATGTTACTTTTAGCATTCAGGCAAATGGCCTCTTGCTCAGGAATCACTGCCCTGGATCACAGTTTGGAGCTTGGTCTCTGGAGAGCTATTCTATAAATTGTAGAAAGGATTTATTTCCTTCCCTTGACTTTCCTTCATTTCATCTATCTAAATTTCACTGCCTGAGAAAATACTGAGTTTGCTGAGTTGAATCATATGTGGATTGAATTCTTTACCTGATTTATATCTGTCTATGTTTGTAGACAATACTGGCTTGTGGCTTCATTGGGCAACCAAAACTCTTGAGACAGCATAAGGGAGGAATTGTTATTCCAACTGAGTTTGCTGTTCACCTGAAGGAGACGCACCCTGGTTTACTGGTGGCTGCCACTGTGGCTTTACATGAGAACAGTAAAATTGAACTGGAAGAAGCAGATACCTTTTTCAAGGTTGGCTTGTGATCATTTTTTGCTTCTGTTTTTCTCATAGTGATGTTGTTACGGGTAAGCAAAGCAGCCTCGATTGCTCCTTCACTCACATTTCAGCATTTCTTCAGAAAGAGGGAGATTGGGGTTGGATATGTTCCAGTCATGATATATGGCTACAGAGTCAGAAACTGGACTTTCTAGAAAGAAATACTGGTTAAATCAAGCAAAAAAAAAAAATTTAAAAAATCCATTAAGTTCTTTGGTTTGACCTTGTCATTTGAATGGAGAATACCCTGGTCTCAGAGATCTTTCAATGGCTTCCTAGTAATTTGGCTTCCTAAGGCTACTGAAATTCAACAGAATTTAGATAAATCACTTCCATAAGGTCCTTTTGAAGAAATCGTTAGGATTGAAACATACTTCTAAAGAATCAGACTTAAATATGAAGGTATATAATGTTCTGTATAAATTTCTGAAAGAAGAGTGGATCTCTGCAGAAAGATAAATAGAATAGTTTTTCTGGTGTCACTGAAGTTTTCTTTATTTAGATTGGGAATAGACCAACCTTTTTTCTTTTCTCTACAATGAATAACATTGTTTGGATTCAAACCATGTATTCGTCAATGCAGTATGTTGCAGTCTTATATCTGTTACTGTGAAAAGACCTCTAGTAGAAGTACCAAGTCATGAAATTCAAATTAGAACAAGTGGTGGTGTTTAAAGCCAGTTTGAAACCAAGTAGAAGTCCTTTTCGCTGACACACCAGACCTTAAAGCCTCTCCCTTGTGGGTCCCACCATTATACCCAACTGAGCTACACAGTATCTCTTATCATGGCCTTTAGATTCCTCTTTCAAAGACACCTGCTTGGCTATTGGCATATATAATATCCTCCAAATTAGCAGTCTGTAAATACTTGACAGTGTGCTGACATTTCTGGCAGTAGAGTAAATCTTGAAGAAGAAACCAAATCTATTGTTAGAATTGATTACCTTAAAAATCATTCCATGAACTTTTTACTTTGCCTAGCACTGTATTATGTAGAATCACATCCATTAGAAATACATCAAGACAAAAAAGGAATCAAAATTCTGCTTCTAGTAAAAAGTGAAAAACTATTCTGCCTGTCTCTCCTAACTTCTGCTACTAATAATTGCCATAGTCTGTGCTAACTTGCTGTCCTCTAATGTTTTTGTTCTTAGTTATTGTGTCGTAACAGTGAAAACACTATTCCTCAGCTCTTGGTGGATTTCTGGGAAGCTCTTCTTGTCGTGTGCTCTCAGGAAGAAACACTTCAGGAGCTTTTGTTGAGGGTTACCTCTCAGTATGTTTGGAGAATATCAAAGCAGCAGCTTCCTGAGACTAAGCCATTGAAAACAACAGAGGATCTAGTAAGTATACCACTCAGAGGAAGTTTTATGACTGCATTGTCCCTCAAAAATCTATCGGAACACTATCCTTAGTATTTTAATTCTGTACAATTTATCTCTTAAAAGAAGCAAGACTGAAAGCAAGTAAGGTAGTGTGCAGTTACCAGATAGGTATTGCTGGCTCTGAGGAGTCTGCTCTTTGGGGACATTTGCAAATGTACTTCCAACAGGAATCTCAGCTTTGGACAGAAATAAGGGCTAAAATGAAACAATGAGGGTTTGTCAGGTAGTGTTAGCAATTCTACGAACCTGACTAAATGAGAAAAATGTGTGAATGATGAGTTTTAAAGGATTCTGAATGGGAAATCTGAAATACAGAATTAAATAGAAGTTCCAGTTTATTCGTTACTAAATTGTATGAACCAGAAGAAAGAGTAGCTGCTGTTCTGAATTATGCTATTTGAGAGTAAAATTTTCTTCACTTGTGGCAGGTTTCACATGGAACTGTCACTAACAGAAATATTGTGTTTATTGCAACTTGATTCTTTCTTGTACAGATAAACTCCTGTAGTCATTTTGGGTTGATTTTCCCATGGGTAACTTCCATAATGTCAATGGGATCTCCTTCTGATAAAGATTACTGTGAAGATGTCTCAAAACTACAGGTATGAAACCCTTAAATCTTACTGCTTACAGCTTAGATCCATTCTGCGTATATTCACGTATGCGTGAGCAACGTTCTCTAGTGGACGACTCTCCTCGTTCCCCCCAGGTTATCCAAGTTGAACTACAAGTTCCAAATTATGGAAGAAAAAAAAAATTACTCAGATATGTCAATAACAATGATATTTACATTTGCAGTCCACTCTAAACTTGCTTCCTCAGTTTTCAGGAGTATTTATTAAAGGAACTATTATTTGAAAATTATTCCATTAAGTAAGGGCTTCTGTTCTAAGGTTATGGTTAGCATTGTTTTGCCAAGTTTTTCTTAAATACAAACAATACTTTTTCTTCTTGTCTTCAGTCTCTTTTATGTAGTCAATCAATCAATATAGATTCAGCTCTGCCTGTCTTGGAGCCTCTGACAGAGGCTGGCAACGTCGGCCTCACCATCCATGTTCTCTGCGATACCCGTCTAGGCAAGTATGAGGAAGCCATTGACCAGCTTCTCAAAAGGTGTCCTGATGCAGCTGTATTATATGCTCAGCACGAGCTGAAAGATGACAGTCGGGTGAGCTACTTTTGTTAAAGTTGTTCAGTATTTTTTGTTTTGGTTTGGTTTTTCCCTAACTAAAATGCTATTGCGTGCAGATGGACTCTGGATGGATCAAATAGCCCATCTTTCAGACAAAGTAAATTGCTTAGCTTGCTTTGAACCTCTTACTTGGCATTTAAATTCCGTAATTCAGTCCTCACTGAGTTTAATGGAATATATTTTTTTTTTCCTAGTTTCTTCTGTGACTTCTTGTATTCATTCTAGTAAATTTAAAGATTAATCTTTTCAGAGGCAGACTGCCTCAGAAAAGGGCACTTTTCCACTGTAAATGAAAAACTAGCTAGTTTCTCACTAATCAGTGTTCTAAATTGTTTGATGGTATTGTATAATGTGAATTTTTAGTGGTAAGCTAACTGATAAGAGAACATGGTCCTTCAAATAAAATCACACTTAAATATGTTCTTCCTGTGTTCTAGTGACATCTTCTGACCTTATAACATCAGAATGGGACTGGTGCACCAGTGGAAAGATTATGTTCCTTATGTCCCTTTTTCCCTGTAGGCTGCTATACAATTTTAATTTTGGAACTGATTTTATGCCAGTGTTCCAGGAGTACAGGAGTTAGTTCCATGGCCCATCACAACTACTCAATTAATTGTACACAGTTTTGCTGGTCAGAGTCAGCAAAGATGATCCTTTACCAGATGGACGTACTAGAACTCTATTCAAAACCAAATTTGTGCTTTCTGTTCAGATCTGAAAATAGGTCCCTTGGTTGTTTCCATGTTAGAGTTGACCGTGAGGTTGCAGTCCTGACTCTGAACACAGGTGGAAGAAAAGCGTTACCACATTTAAAAAAGGAGGAAGGAAATCCCTTCCCCTCTCCATTCTTATCAACAAAATTATACACAAAACATAATTCACTACTATGGCTGTTGGAAGTAGACAGATCAGGGCAGGAGACTGAGCAGTGTTCTTACAGTAATGCTATTCACCACTTTGTGTGGAGCTGTTTGCAGGGAAACCCCTTAATTTTCTGACTGCATCAGTCTTGCTAATTATGGGACTTTTTTCTCTTATAAACTTTTATCTATAGAGGTACTAGGGGGCACTGTGTAAAATTTTTTGAGTATAAAAAGATCTCACTGAAAATTGAAAACACATGTGCAAAACCACTGCATTTCAAAGCATTATATAAATTAATTATTGAGTCAATCATAACCTACCTGTATTCATACACATCTGAGCTTAGTTTGGTGTAGTTTAGCAGGTCTTTCATACTCTTAATTGCAGTCCTCATTGATTTATGCTTTTGCTGTGGGTTTTTGTGAATTAGGCTGTGTGGTGGAACAAGCTGCTTCCTGAACTGTGCAAGAGAACTAGACTTGCTGGAAATGACTGCCCTATTCTTATTTCATCACTGAAAGGTAAATCAATTGATTGCAACTCAAATCCAGAAGTCTTTGTACGTCATCTGACATTCTAAGTACTGTTCAGGCTAAGGACTACTGATGTGATAATTATGAAAAAAAAAGGGGGACTTTTTTCTATGGTTAAAGCTAATACAGCTTAGCAGGCTCTCTAGTCTTTAGCATGGGATTCTGCAACATACAGTGTGTTGCCTCATATAAAAATCATGGCATTCATTTTGTATTGAAAACAATTAAATTGTGGGAATCATATTGTTTCTATATAGGTCAAGAATAGACACCATTAAAAAAGCTTACTAAATAGAACTAACACATAGTAAAATTTTTTTTCTAGGCTAAGTAATTATGTGGTTCTAAGCAATGACAACTAACAGGCTACTATTGCTAACCCAGTGGGCATCTAATTGGGTGATTATGGTCATAGACTGAAAAAAACACTGTGTGTTACTACTAGAAGTAGAGGAACCAACCCTGGTAGTTGATGTAGTCCTATTCTTACATGTTTGTAGGAAGTCAATCATGTTGTGTATAGCTGAGGGGCCAGCGTGTTTGTTTTGACAGGATAAGAAGATTGAATAAAGCACTTTTTTTTTTTTTTTTTAAATGCTAGTGTGATGCCTGAGGGCAGAAAACCAGCATCATGGGATTGCATCGTGCAGCACAGGTTGCCATACTCTATCATAAAGTTCTAGTTTCTAATACGAGTGTTTTTTCTTTTGAAAAATTGGTTTTATGCAGTAACTGTGCTGTAATCACTTAAGAACATAATGTTTAACAGCTTGGTTTGAGAAGCTGCTGGCAGAACATCCCATTTTACAGATAGCACCAAGTTAGGGTACAAGTATAGGTTTCTAGGGCTTCCTTTGCATTTGATACAAAACGTGCGGAGTACTAGACCGGACTTCCGTAAGCATTAGTGCCACACGTTGACCTGATGAGTCAAGAAAGAGGTATGGTTTTAATCTAAGACATAATTTCAGTTTACTTTTGAGATTTCCTATAGTTGTATTTGCTCCCAAATGGGTGTGTCTCAAATGTCATTCCACTTATATTTAGATAATTTGATGACTTCAATTAGTAATTACATTGTTAACAGTTTTTAATTTCTTTGTTCTAAATCCAAAATACCTAAACAAGATTTTCTCCCCTGCTCTGAGCAGAAACTTTATCAGTTGTTGCAATGGAACTGGAACTAAGGGATTTCCTCAGTCTTCTACCAGAGGATGGAACTGCAGCATTTTTTCTGCCACATCTTCTTCACTGCAGCCAGAGGAAGCTGCTGACCTAAAACAATGAAAGTTACTACGCGCTCAAATACAAAGAATGTGCTGGAATAAAAAAGTAAATGAAACAAGCAGTAGAACTACATATAAGGTACCGTGGGACTCCCCTCACATAAATCACGTTATTTCTGAGTTGAAACTGTGTGACAACTATTGAATGACAACTATTGAATGACAGCTATTGTCTGAGGCAAAGCATCTGCTTTGAAGCTAATACTATTACACTCTGACAAAGGTCAGCAAACCAGAATTCCTGCCAGGTAGAAGTGGTAAAAACATAGCTATTCAGCTATTAGGCAGGATCACTTTTGCTTTGATGCTTTGTCATCTTAATTACATACCTATGTGTGTCGTCTTAATTACATATCTATGTGTCACACTGAAAATGTTTTCATTTAGCAATTCACAAAAAAAGGCCATAAATCAAAGAGAAAGAGAAGTGGGCCGAACAGGAGTGGAAGATATGAACGACCACCTTGTTGGTTTTTATTTTCTTTCTTCTCCTGTTGTCTACTGACTGAGTACAAGTATTTGAAATACTGTTTAAGTAACATTACAGCTTCAGTGAAAAGGAATTTGACAGAGTCAATCAGAAGAGACCATCTACATTGCAAATAAAATACATGACAACTGACTGAGTACAAGTATTTGAAATACTGTTATGTCACAACTCCAGCTGAAAACTCTTTTTTCTTCTAGGTTTTTTGGTAAGCATCTCAGGTACTTGTGCATATATATACTGATGTTTATCTTTCTTTTGGGCAGAAAACATCCTTCTGTTCCTTCAGCTAGAATTCAGTCATAATAAACTGTCACGATATTTATGACCTTCTTATGAATGTGGCTTGGGTTTTTGAGAGTTTACCACAAATAAAACAATGACTCCGTGATCCATAACCATTTAAAGACCTAATTAGCTGACATCGATAAGTTTAAGAAACATTACAGCTTCAGTGAAAAGGAATTTGACAGAGTCAATCAGAAGAGACCATCTACATTGCAAATAAAATACATGACAAAAAAAAAAAAGGAGAAAAAATAGTTTAACTTACCTATGTAGCATTC